GCTGCCTTGGTCCATTGGCCTCTGTCTGGGAAAGAGCTGGGCAGCCTCCCCTGGGCCGAGCACTGTAGTGAGAGTCCAGAGGCTCGGGTCCTTCTTTCCTCCTGCCCAGCCAGGAAAGGTCCTGCTGCCCAGGCACGCTCTCAGGGTGCTCCCCTGCTCCCAGCTCCACTTTCTCTCAGGCAGTACCAACTGAGGGTCCTCTTTGTCACCTGGGTTACTGGAAACCTCCCCTAGAGCCTGCAGACAGCTATTTTGCGCTGACAGTGAGTCACTGGCCCCTCCTTTCTGGGGCTGCCAGGAAGGGCAGGGAAAGTTTGGCTCAGTTTCTCCCTGGAGCTTTCCTGGACCTTAGGCCTTTCTGGGTCTGTAGGGGGTGGGGGGTATGCATGCTTTTCTGTTACAGAAATGGGGAAACTGAGATAGCAGAAACTTAGTCTTCTATGGGCTTCTTTCCAGGAGCTTCAGAAAAGTGATCATGGTGCTAACTTTCTTAAATATTTATAAAACAAAAGTGATGTCACCTGGAGGCTATTGTATGTCTTTGGAGGATCTGCAGTATTTCCAGTTAATACTATTTTCTTCCCTAACAGAGATGGAGGTTCGGACCTCAGCCAGGTTCTCACTCCATATTACAGGCCCTTCCAGCTCTAGGAAGAATCTTTATCTCACAGTTTATACAGCGTAATTTACCCATCCGGGACCCTGGGCATCAGCTGCCCCCTGTGTCTCAGCCTTTCATCTCACCTGCCATTCTCTTCAGAATAAGCCAGGACTCTGCAGGGCTGGGAAACACCCACTGATTCAGAACCTGTTGTGTGCACAGTCTAGATGTAGGAGCCAGAGCACTCGGAAATGCAGATTGCTTCTGAGGTGGAAGTCAGCGGCGGGAAGGGCTGGGTGTTGGTTTTCAGGGGGAACGTGGTGATGTGAGCTGCTTCCCCACACCTCCTTCCTCGGCGCCTTCTCTTCATCTAAAAGCTGGACACCAGGACCACTGTGGCAAGCCATGTGGTGTGGCCTTCGGCAAGTCCCTTTCCTTTTGTGGTCCTGGGTTTCCTGTCAGATAGAGGAGACAGTGGTTAGCTTTTAAGATACACATCAGAGTCCTCCCCCATACCCGTCTCCCAGACCCAGCCCTGGCCACTCTCCAGCTTCCTGTCCCACCCTCCACTCCAGCCACACTGGCTTCTTCTCAGTTTTCAGAATGTTCCATGTTCCTTTCTGCTCCAAATGCTCCTCTGTCCTCCTGGCCTCCATTAACCCCCTGCTCACCACCTTCAACTTGGTTTAAATATCACTTCCTCAGAGGAGCCTCCCTGACCACCCCACCCTCCCCTGCTGAGCATTGAGATTCCTTTTTCTTTGCTGTAACTTTCCTTCGGTGGGAGGCGGGTGTCTCATTGGCTCCCACTTTCCTAAGGCTGATTAACGAGTGTCTCTGGCCAGGTGTCAGTCCTGGCAGGGCTGCTCCACATCACACACCTTTGAATCCCCAGACTGCAAAGCAGGCACCATTTGATCCCTTTTCTTAAGCCCCTGGGAAAAGAAACCCAGAAGACTAAGCCTCTTCTGCCTCAGTTTCCCCATTTTTGTAATCGGGAGAGGCCTAATGGCCAGACAACACATTTGAATCCTGGCTCTGCTGCTGGCCAGCTGTGTGACCTTGGGCAAGCCCTGAGCCTCAGTTTTCTCAGCTGTAAAATGGGGATAACAGTACTTCAGAGAATTGTAAGGGTGAAGTGCCCTCATCCACAGAAAGCACTGAGAGTGGCGCCCA